TGTGTGTGTGTGTGTGTGTGTGTGTGTGTGTGTGTGTGTGTGTGTGTGTGTGTAAACCTCTTGTAACTTTTGAACGACTTGACCGTTTTCATCGCGGTTGGTGTCATTCGAAAGGGCTTCGCCAAACTTAGATTTCCTGAGAGTTGGAACCAATTCGGACCGGTAGATTTCGAGAAAATGCAAAAAAAGTGAAAAAAAAAGTTGTTTTTTTTTTATTTTTTTCAAATATCTCCGAATTGGCTGAACCGATCGGTCTCAAAAACTAATCAGCTCTTAACCTTGAAAGCCCCCATCGATCGTCACCAAAAACTTCAGAATCGGTTGATGCGTTCGTGAGATATCGTTGTCGAAAAAAATCGAAAAAAGTGTTTTTTTGTAATAACTTCGAAATTCATGGCTCGATCGATTTAAACTTGAAAATTTTTTATGGAGCTTCAAAAACTGCGTCGATTGCCGCCAACCGCGTGAAAATCGATTCATTCATTCAAAAGTTATTGCCGTTTGAAAATTCAAAAAATTGTGTCTTTAAACTGCTATTAGAGTTTTGAGCTCGAAGAGCTCAAATTGACACAAAAATAATATTTTTGAGCTCGAAGAGCTCAAAAACGTAATGTGTAGTTTGAAGCGTTTAAGTACAAAATGAGCGGGAAGTTGCAGGGATGGCCTTTAGGGTCAACCGTCATCCTAATTTTTTTTTGCCGCGCTTTGGGTTGTGCCGTGCATTTTGCAATATCTATAACTCATAAACTACACAGTTAAAAATTTTTTTAAAATTACAATCATATTACAAAACAAATAATAAGTAAAATTACAAATCAGTGTATAGCAATGCGAAATAAAATACAATTCATGTAATTGTCCAACACCTGTCAGGAAATCTACTAAGATGTATTGTAATTTTATAATTTTCATGTATAAACCGAACACGCATTGTAATATTACAGAATCGTTCGACAATTTTTAAGAAAAAGCTTTTTAATTTTGCAAACATTATTTGTGATCTGATTCGGCATAATTGTATGTAAAATCACAAAAAAATATTATAATTTATATTACAATAATCTCATAAAAAATTTAAAAAGCTTTTTTTTATTTTTACAATTTTCATTGTAAAATTACACAGTGCAATGTAATGTTAACAAACAATTTTAATTATATTACACGAATTGTAATTCTATTTCACTGTTTTCCAATTGTAAAAACAATACTTTTCAGTTTTACAAAAATGAGATTGATGTATCAAAAAACAACAATGTCCTTCATATTTATTTTTACTAATTTTTAGTCTATGGTTGTTTATTTACAATAATAAATTCGAGGCATCATTTATCTTTTATAAATTTTAATATTACGCTCAAATGATCATTTCAAAATCAATATATTTGAATGAGTATATGTTAGACTTTGATTTTTATAATATTCAATGAATTATAAATAATGTAAAAGTTAGTTATTTTCTATCAATAAACAGCATCAAATAACACAAATAATGTAAATAATAAATAATAAGCCGTAATGCTCAATCACCACATAGGATTAGCTTATAATAATAATAATAAGATGTTGAACCACCTATCGGTCGTATACGGCGTAGGGCTTTAGGTATCAGTCTAACAAGCGCGCGGCTCGCGTTCGATTCTTAGTTAGGGTAAATATTATTTTCACTTTATATCATCTGAGTTGTAAAAATTAGGTCTACGTGAGATGCAAAATCTAGCGCTTGATAAAAATAAAATTACAACAAATATTAAATCAAATCTTTCTTTTTTATTATTTCAATTCAAGTAAAATTCAAGGAAAGTATTGTAATTTTACAATACTTAGCTAATCTAAAAATATTTTTAAAATTACAAAACCGTTTTGTAAAATTAGTAACCTCACAGAGCTACATATATTTTACAGTGATAGTAGGTACAATAACCTTAAAAATCCTTGATAAGATCAACAAAATTTTCTTCATCATACTCTGACATATCTTCATAGTCAAACTGATTTTCAATTACCTGGACAATTGACCATCGAGCAACGAAACTTGTAAGCCCGACTTGAACGTATTGATCTTGATCTGACAGCTTGCAAACGATGGGGCTTCCAACGAAGCTCTGAAAATCATCAAGCACTAATTCAATGATGAATTCTAATCATACTTAATAATATTGCGACTTATTAACTTCTTCGATAATTCGATCTTGATCCGAGTTAATGATTAATTTAAGGCTTACAATATTTTTAATAATTCTCTCTTTATCACCAATTACACCACAATCTTCGATGATACAATCTGCCTCATCGTATAACTTAACCGCTTCTTCTTCATAGAGCCCAGACGAACCTGGTGTAAGTGACACGCGATACTCTTGATGTAAAAACCCTGAAATTGATACCATAAAGAATGAAAATCCAACTGTATTAATCGCTAAGCTTACCTTCATCATTGATGGTCTTAGCCTTTATTAAGTAATCTGTTTTACGGGAACCCAACGATAGGTCAAACAATCCTCAGAGTCCCACTGGTGATTCTTATTAGCCAATGAAACAACACCGACTTTGTCATAGAGCTTGAATGGTTCATCCAAGATCAAAATCGTCCAGTCGGTTGGTTTCACCTGGTTTTCGTTTAAATTTGGAGGATTGTAGAAGAATGATATCGATCTGGAGTCGTAGCTAGTCGTGACTTTATTTTGCCAATTGGCGACAACCACCAGCTGGCTTATTGGAGATCTAAAAACAGATTTCAGGACAATTTGCGGTGTTCTGAGTGATTATCAAGGATTAATACTGACTGTTTTATTTTAGACGCTACTGTAAGGACCACGTCATCTTTGATCAGGGAACCGTAACTTAGTCCTAGAAGCAGTCAGTGATTACAATATTAAACAGAGCTAATTATTCATTAATTACTTACCGGACATCGCAGCGTATTCCTTTTCTACTGTATCGACGACGAGCACCAACCATGGTGATCTGTTGTTTGGCTCCAACACTTCGTCGAGGGGACGGTTGTAAGTGATACTGCAGCTTTCACTCCCTCCTATCAATATTATTGATGAGACTAACATCTTCCATGCTAACCAGGTATCCATTTTGTTGGTTATTCAGGAGCTTATGTGTTCTATTCCCTAGAGTTTAGAGTTAATGCACAAGGAATGATATACTGGCTATTATTTATAGCGATAAGCACAGTTATTTACTTATTTGTTAACTTATAACAATGAAATTCATATTGAACTGGTATCATTGACAATTATACTGATTAAATAAATTGCACTGCACTATCGATGACTCTGACCAATTATGGTGACTTTCCATTCAATTTTTATCAACGTCACCAATGATAGCCACCTCTTTTGTGTTAGAAAACTATTTATCATGATTATAATAACCTATTTTGTGGATTTAATCCAAAAATTACAATTTAGTTTTTTTTGCCGCGCTTTGGGGTGTGCCGTGCATTTTGCAATGACTATAACTCGTAAACTAATCGACCGATTAACTTGGTTCTTTAAAAACTTTTTTTAAAAAAGTGTCCCCTAGGCCCTTACAAAAAATCAGAACCTAATTAAAATTTCTTATTACTGGTAATTAAAAAATTGAGTTTTTACCCAAACCACAACCACATTTGGAGACATTCACCTTACAACGCTCATTTTTTCGGTAAAAAAAAAAGTAACCGCGTTTAATATCTAAGTAACTACATAATAAATGAGTAAGTAGGAAAAATGTATAGAAAAAAAATATAAAACAACGATAAGATGATAAAATGTACGTTACTCTTGTATCTCTTGCATTTAAGACTGATTTTTTATAAACGCTCGATTTCTTTTTGACATTTTTTTATCTTTCAGATTAATAGATTTTAATCGTATGTAAATAATTCAATAATAGTTCTGATTATTAATAATAATAATACTTACAATAATTATAATAATAATATTAAGGATAATTGTAAATATGTTGAATTAGATTGAGTGAGTCAATTGGTGACTGAGAGCAATAATAATTTAAAATTTTTAAAATAAAAATCAAAAATTAGTGTCGATTCCCGGCATGATTAATGAAAATTAAAATTGTGTACCCCGTACTGTAAAATTTTACAAGTCACTTATTGTATTTATTAATTATTTAATTATTGTATATATACAATGTATATATTGTATATATACATGACGTAATAAATAGAATTCAAATGATTAAATATTTTTTTTTTATTTCAATTTTATCCTTGATCATTTTCTTTATCTTCAATATTAAACCCATAAATGGCAATTTAATTATTTATTGCCGCGCTTTGGGTTGTGCAATGATTTTTGTAATGACTATAACTCGTAAACTAATCGACCAATTGACTTGGTTCTTTAGAAACTTTTCGTAGAAAAGTATCCCTTAGGTCCTTGCAAAAAATCAAGCTTATTCAATTAGATTAATTACATCTATTAACGAGAGCATTATCTTTGTAAAAATAGTCAAAGTACATAAAATCAAAGGGATTAAGATTAATTGAAACGCTGGGTCTATTGTCGTATATGATCAAAGGAGCATATATTATAAAAAAACAAGAATTCATGAGCTTAAGCCTCAGCAGCTGGCGAGTAATCCTTTGTAAAATTACCGAGTTACTAGATATCTTCGTAACTTTGAGAAAATATAAACCGAGGTTGAATGGTCTTCAAAGAGCCTGCTATTTCGAGGACTGGAGAACATTGCAGAGTAGCAACATCGGATTTCTCTGGTGGGAAGTGGGTGGAAGTGGGAGTAGTTGTGCTCTAAGACTCCTGTGCTACAAATTGTAGTTTGCTGGTTGAACAGGGCAAGACAAGACGAGACAAAGCCTTAAGCGCTGTTCGATAATGGTCTGTCGAGCTTAGGGACAGACATGGTTTGACTAGTGACGAGTATAACGATCTTCCAGATAATTTTAGATTATTTAAGGAGATCTACGTAGTCAAATTTCGAAGACTTCCTGATAAGTTGTAAATTCAATTTACGTAGCCTAATAATTAATAAAAAAATTAAAAAAAAAGTTTCCGGGATATTTAATCAAATAATTAGATTTGAAAATTGTAATTTTTACATCTCCATTCACATGTAAAAATTTGGTTAAGGATAAAATGCAATTAACGATTTAAAAAAATTTTATTTTCATTGAATTTGATTGAAAAAATAATAAGCTTTCGATTAAAACAATAAAAAAAGTAGCTTTCCGAAGGTATTACGGAGATATTTTATATTTTTATGAAAATAATAGTTTAAAAAAACTATAAACACGCTTTTTATAGAAAACCAAACTAAAAATAGAAAATAAATTTAAATTAAGAATAGTGTTAAAATTTCAATTAAATATAAATTAATAATAGTGTGAATAAAAAAAAA